ATATTGTGCGAAAACCGAATTCAATAATTGTTTTATTATTTATGTAAAAAAATCAAAACAAACATTTGTATTTTATTTGTATTAAGAAAAAAACAATTCCTTAGTCCTTCGGCAGCCGTCGTCGCGTCATATCAATGGCGTCAGCGAGTCAATACGATTCTCCTCGTCATAGGAATATGGCCCAAAGGCGTCCAAATTTTTTTCAAATGGACTTTTTGACGTCATTTTGCTAATATGCATGTGAAAAATCCGTATTTGGTTAGCCTTTGAGTTGATATGACAATTTCAGAGTTGGCTGTAAAAACAATCAGAAACCAGGAATTTTTTAAATAAATAATAAGACGAATTTCGGCCGTGGCTTGTTGGTTAGAGAAAGATAGGGATGGATGGCTAAAAACTTGCTCTCGGAGGGGATCGAACCCTCGACCTTCGCATACACTCAAGTACTGCTTATAAGTACGACGCACTAACCAACTGGGCCACGAGAGCAGGTCCCGATAACGCTCCTATTATTTTCGAAGGTTCTGCCGAAGTTTCTGCCGAGACTTGATTGCAGATAGTTGGATCCAGAGCCCAAAGTGCTAACCATTACATCACAAACTTTTGAAGGATTGTGAACTCATATTATTGGACAAGAATGCCTGCACATTGTTTCGGTAGCGTGGCCGAGTGGTCTAAGGCGCTGGTTTTAGGCACCAGTCATTTCGATGACGTGGGTTCGAATCCCACCGCTGCCAGTTGTTCAATAATTCGTCACCTCTGTTTTGAACCCGGATGTATGTCACCTTGGAGATGCCTTGTATTTGGAGCATTCAGGGCAGACAATCCATGTTGTATACAATTTACGTTTATTTTTGAGATTTCTCTTATTTCATTCCATTTGCAAAGACTAAGCCGTTTTAAGATCTACCAGCAATTTAAAAATCTCTTCAAAGAACAATAATCAAAATATTAGTCGCGAATCACGTTGCTCTCTTCATTCTTGGACTTGATGGATAGAGTACGACAAGCAATGCATAATTGAAATAAATAGTAACGGTTGTACAGTTTATAAGCACCACGTACTAACAAACAGGACGACGGTAGCAGGTCGTGAGAAAGGTCTTATTATTTTAGGAAACTGTCGTGTTCAGAAGAAAATGGTTGGTGGCATCGGCATGCATAAACGCTCCATAATAACAATAGCAGGAAATGGTTTCGATCCATTGACCTCTGGGTTATGGGCCCAGCACGCTTCCACTGCGCCACCCTGCTTGTTGCTACTTGGAATCAGCCAGTTGTATATATTTTCCAAATCTTGAAAACCAAGAAGCAACATATTTCCCTTAAACCTGTAATGAAGCCATTGCACCAATTCATTGGAATAGAGTTTGAAACAGACAAAAAAGTGCTACAATATAGAGCCTACTGGCCACATAGCCAACAGTCAATAGCTATTGTTATTATTATTATTGAGCGTTGATGCATGCAGACATCATCCACGGATTTTGGTCGAACTTTTTCTAAAAACAACAGATTTCGTAAATCATATGGAGATTAGGGCGAATTGCTGCGGTGGTCTTGTTGGTTAGGGAAGGATTGCTAAAAACGTGCTGCCGGAGGGGATTGAACCCTCGACTTTAATAATAATGATAATAATAGCAGGAACTGATCACGATCTGCTTGACTTCTGTGTTATAGAGCCAGCAATTATTGAGCGCACAAGAGTGCGTATGTCACCCTATAGCGTTTTGGTTAAAATTGTTTTCAAAACAACAGGTTTCGTAAATAATATGGCGATTAGGACGAATTGCTGCGGTGGCTTTGTTGGCTAGTGTATCGTTGGTGTACAATTTTTTTCAAAATAACAAGTTTTCGTAAATAATAAGGACATTTAATAATTAACAATTATTGAATGAGGTTGAGCACGATATGAAGAATTATCAAGCCCGAAGTTTGCCGTTATATTAAGACTAAATAGCAGAAAAATATGACCCAATAATCCATGCAATTAAAAATATCTATCAAATTAACTTCAAAAATCATGATTTGAGGAATTATATCTATTCAGGCAACACATAATTTAGTGACAGGTCTTGGCAAGGTGAAAGCTGAAAGGAACCCTTAAGATGGGTGTACTACAAAACTATATTGACTGAAGTTTTGGAAACATTTAACTAAATTTTGAAGGATTGACTTGCAAATTGTGTTTCAGTATCATGGAATTTTACACTTCTGGAGAAGTTGTGGCTCTATTAGTGCCATTTCTTTCATTGTTTATATATCTTGCTTTTAAGCATTGCTCGCTTATAAAATCTTTCAATTCCTTAGGGCCTGTTTATATGATCCCGCCTAGATGGGACGGGACGTTTTCATCCCGCCAAGACAGGATACTCGCCTAGTGTTTATATGGACAAAATACATTGCCGGGATGAAACCATTTGGTGCTTGACGTCATATTTTTGTTGCAATAAAGGCATTTACGCATGCCCAAAAGGGAAAAATTCATTCCGCCTAACTGGGATGAAGTGTTTATATGCGAATTTTTCATCCCGGCTAGTCGGGATGAAGTGTTTTTATATGGGAATTTTTCATCTCGCTTAGGCAGGATCCCGGCATCTGTTGCCTAAATCCAGTCTAGGCGGGATAAGTGGCGGGATCATAAAACACTCTTTAGCATTTGTATTACGAGCGGGATCTCAGTAAGCGTCCCGCCTGGCCGGGATCATATAAACAGGCCCCTAATCTCATCCCATGATACTGAATCACAGTTTGTAAGGCCCCATTTACATGAGACCAGGATGAAACCAACCTGGAATGAAAATTGAAATTGTATGTCAACATGTTTACACGAGACCAGTATGAGAATCACAAAATTTTCAATTTATTCCCCTTGCCAGGCAATTTTCTTTTTTAGATGACTTTTGTTAGCATGTGCTGTTCACTTGTTCCAATGTCAACATTCATTCCAGTCTGAATTCATACTGGTCTGAGTCAGTCGGCTTGGTCCAGCAGGCGGAATGACTTGAGACCTCATGTAAACATCTATTATATATAATATAATGACCAAAACGAAATGGTCCCGGTTAATTGACTTCGTTCCAGTCTCATGTGAACTGGACCTAATAAAATCCTTCAAAAGTTAGCTAAATTTTTCCAAAACTTCAGTCAATATAGTTTTGTAGTACACCAATCCCAAGATCTGTCACTAAATTATGGGTTGATTGCCTGAATAGATATAATTCCTCAAATCATGATTTTTGAAGTTAATTTGATAGATATTTTTAATTGCATGGATTATTGGGTCATATTTTTCTGCTATTTAGCCTTAATATTGTAGACTTTTTTCAGAAAAGGAAGTGCAAACAAGCGCATACAATAGCAATTCTTCTTCAACTAATGGGCAACAATTTCTAAATAGCAAGGAAGCTGAATGACTGTATGGGTATGGACTATGGATAGCTCTTTCATGGGCTCTGCTCAGTTTGTATGTTGTAACTTATGTCGAGCCATTGCAAGTGAATTTAACAAAGCCAGCGAACAAAATTGACAAAAATATACACGATTTAGTTGCACAGTTTCAGCTTGGAGTTTGGTACTATTTCAACTGTCAATTCGACCTCGAACTTTGAAAGGTTCAAAACCTATCTGTCTCATGTTTGCTCACTCTATAATTTTGTATACGCAAAGGTTTTCATCATAACTTAATAACAAATTATAATTTAGGTTTTGAAAATCATTGGTTTTTTATCAGGAAGCAGTGCGCGCTAACACTCTCGGACAACATTTCGACGGCCATTTTTAACCACCAAATTAAACAGAGTATATAAAATAAAATAACACCCGAAATAAAGTTTTTTGTTACTTAAATCTTATCTTTAAGTTTCTTATAATAGCTGAAAGTAACAAAAACATATAAATTTTACACAAGTAATATTTTATAAAGCAATAGTTTCAGCATACCTTCTGATGGGTCATATACGCGTAGCCATATTTGTTTACAATTAGAACGTCTTACCCCCCGCGAAGCCCGCATCACGGATGGGTCCGCTCGATGTATGGCCGTTTCTACGCCCTCTCTACCTTCGCCCTGGAAACAACTAAACAAGACAACATATAATTTCAGTGTATCTTTAATATTGATTCCCTTTTTTATTATATTGAATTTTTTAAATAAAAAATAAAGCAAAGTTATTTGCAAGCGAGAATTTGAAATAATTTTATTGCAAACTCAAAGTTTATCGATAAAGCCATTTAAATTATAGTTAAAGGCAGTTTAGTTTTATAAAGAACACTTTAAAATGTTTTGTGAATTGTTTGTGGTTGAATTTTACCTTAAATTGAAGCTTGTATAATTACACACCTAACATATATATGTTGGGAAATTGAAAATTTTGTAATTAAAAGTGATATTTTTAGGCGATTTTCATTTGTAAGAATATTCTTAAAAAATTATCGTGTTACCATGACAACTACTTTAGATACTTCATGTTCGGAAAATACAACGGTTTTGCCAGCAAGGCGAGGGTTTCTGCATGCATGTATTTTCTAGTAATATTGATAATAATAGCAGGAAATGATCACGATCTGCTTGACTTCTGTGTTATAGACGCAGCAATTATTGAGCGCACAAGAGTGCGTATGTCACCCTATAGCGTTTTAGTTAAAATTGTTTTCAAAACAACAGGTTTCGTAAATAATATGGCGATTAGGACGAATTGCTGCGGTGGCTTTGTTGGCTAGTGTATCGTTGGTGTACGATTTTTTTCAAAATAACAAGTTTTCGTAAATAATAAGGACATTTAATAAGACGAATTGCTGCCGTGGCTTGTTGGTTAGAGAAAGATAGGGATGGATGGCTAAAAACTTGCTTTCGGAGGGGACCGAATTCTCGACCTTCGCATATACTCAAGTACTGCTTATAAGTACGACGCACTAACCAACTGGGCCACGAGATTATATTCAAACCTTGTTCTTTCGGAAGATTAGGGTTGGAAGATTAAGGATAGACTAGCGGATAATAGAAGGAAATGGTGTCGATTCATTGATCTCTGGGTTATGCGCCCAGCACGTTTCCACTTTGCCACACTTTTCCTTTCGCTGAATGATCCGAACAACGTCAAAGAAATTTAGATAATGTTAAACATGAGGTTCTGCCGAAGATTCTGCTGATACTTGATTGAGATAGTTGGATGCACAGTCCAAAGTGCTAACCATTACACCACAAACGTTTGAAGGATTGTGGAGTCATATTATTGAACAAAAGTGGCTACACTTTGTTTTAGTAGCGTGCCCGAGTTGTCTAAGGCGCTGGTTTTAGGCACCAGTCATTTCGATGACGTGGGTTCGAATCCCACCGCTGCCAGTTGTTTAATAATTCATCACCTCTCTTTTGAACCCGGATGTATGTCACCTTGGAGACGCCTTGTATTTGGAATATTCAGAGCAGACAATCCACGTTGTATACAATTTACGTTTATTTTTGAGATTTCTCTTATTTCATTCCATTTGCAAAGACTAAGCCGTTTCAAGATCTACCAGCAATTTAAAAATCTTTTCAAAGGACAATAATCAATATATTAGTCGTGAATCACGTTGGTATCTTCATTCATGGACTTGATGGATAGAGTGCGACAAGCACCACCGTTACTATTCGTTTCAATTGTGCATTACAGTTTATAAGCACGACGCACTAACAAACACGACGACGGTAGCAGGTCGTGAGAAAGGTCTTATTATTTTCGAAAATTATTCTATTCAGAAGAAAATGGTTGTTGGCATCGGCATGGATAAACGCTCCGTAATAATAATAGAGAGGTTAAGATATCCCGTTCCGGTTTACAGGTACGGGTGATATACACGTACCCGTACCCGTAAATCGGGGAACGACTTGTAACTTAACCACATATAGGAAATAGAAAACACCCGTACTCGTTTGTCTTTTACATGTAGACCTTAGTTTACCGCGGGGAAACGGGTAGAAATTACTGGTAAAATGCTGACATCAGCAAAAAATGCTAAACAAAATGGCGATAGATAGAAACTCTATTTATAGACGCTGACCCCGTCAACCGAAGCTGATTGCAACGGAACCGGGGTATCTTAACCGTAAATCGGAACCGGGGTATCTCAACCTCTCTACTAGCAGGAAATGGTTTCGATCCATTGACCTCTGGGTTGTGGGCCCAGCACGCTTCCACTGCGCCACCCTGCTTGTTGCTGCTTGGAATCAGCCAGTTGTATATATTTTCCAAATCTAGAAAATCAGGAAGCAACATATTTCCCTCAAAGTTGTAATGAAACCACTGCACCAATTCAATGAAATAGATTTTTAAACAGACAAGAAAGTGCTACAATAAACTATAGAGGCTATTGACCGCATGCATAACGCAACAATCAATAGCTGTTGTTATTATTGAGCTATTTACACCCGGGGAAACGAAAGCATTAGCGAAGTCTAAAGTTCATCAATGAGCGCGGGCGTCGGTCACCAGCGATGGGTGGTCATCCTCACTGATCTCGAAATTATGGCGGACTGTCATGAATAACGGACACTGATTGGTCCAATTTAAAGTTTGCATTATAACGACTGCATGACGACGGCGAAATAGCAAACACTTCTTGATTTGATGAGTTGATGATTGATAAATTTCTTGCAAATATTGTTCATTTTTGCTCGTATTTCTGCAAGATTTTGTAAATTTCAAGAAAGAAAGGGCGAAAGAATCAGCTAAAAGAAGGGAGCCAACGTTAACGAAGGTAAGTTTGTTTTAAATATTGATTTTATAATGGCTTTAAAACCTGACGGCCTTTGCGTATATGAAACAACTGAGATTATTATTTTCGAAACTTATTGTACTCAGAAGAAAATTGCTGGTGGCATTGTCTTGCATAAACACTTAATTCGTAATAATAATAGCAAGAAAAAGTTTCGATCCATTGACCTCTGGGTTATGGGCCCAGCACGCTTCCACTGCGCCACCCTGCTTTTTACTCCTTGGAATCAACCTGTTGTATATAATGTACGAATCTAGAAATTCAGGAAGCAACGTATCATATTTCCCTTAAAATTGTAATCATAAGCCACTGCAAAAATTCATTGGGATATATTGGCATATTTTATATAATCAACTCCAAACAGCTTTCTTGTTTGCGGCAGATAAAAATTTAGTTGTTAATTAAAAAACTTGATTGACAGGTTTTCTTTGTTTGTGAGGGAGATTAGGGCAGATCCATTCACCGCGCATATTTCTGTTGTGATGGTTTGTATTGTGCTTTATATCACACTTGGTTTTCTTTGTTCGTCCGAGGTTTATAACTAGCTTATAGACCATGAATAAATGATTGGATTAAACTTGTAGACAAAACGCGAGAATTTTTCATTAAAAATTTTTGAAAATGACAAAATATGTTGGAAAACCTCCGCAAGTGTGATATTAATTAGTTATAAACCTCGAAAGTCGGTTTATAACTGATATATTGCCCCTCGGACGCTATGCGTCCTCGGGTCAATATATCAGTTATAAACCTCCTACTCGGTTTATAACTCTTACTTAGTTTGTATATATAAGTTATCTAACTCATTTGTGTTCAGTTTTGGTATTAAATACGGTTTAAAATGTCTTTTGACAGTTTGTTTACGTTTGCTATTTTTAGCAGTTCTTGTGACATAAAACTGACATTTGAAGTAAGAGTATTTTTTCAGGGAGGTCGCGTAAATTTGAAAACGGGTGTAATGACAGTATTCTATAATGTACTAAATATTCCTTAAACATTTTCCATAATTCCATTTGTTTGTAAATAGTTTGTGTTTTTCATTGCAAATTGTCCTTATATATTAAACTTGAATAATCTATTTTTATATTACTGAACACTAAAACTATAGGGGTCTTGTCATAAAAGTCCAACAGAATTTCCAGAGGTCTCTAGCCCGTTATACTATTCTTAAAATTCAACTTGTAAATATTTTTTCTGGGTAAATAAAAACTAATAATAACATGCATATAGCCATTCAGCGACGAGCTTATATATAATTAAGCCAACCAGCGATTAGTTTACATCAATTGTTTACATTGTGCCCGCATTTAAGGTGGCTCCCTAGGGTTTTTTAATTTACTACACTATAGTATTCAGGAGACTCCTGTTTCTTCACGTTACATGACATAAAAACGAAATTTATTGGACACATTGACAATGTTCTCCTGAACATTACAAATTGCAACTTTTGTGTTAAAAATCTGTTGTCATGGCAACAACATGCTTAGAATACAGCCCAAAATTTGTCTTTTTCAGGGCATTTTAAAAATTCCCTTCGGTGAAATTTTTTAAAACTTTGCATAAAAGGTCATACTTGTATAATGATTTTTTTCCCTCAATTTAAAAAAATTAAATCGATACGTTTCTTAGAAAATTGAAAAAACGTCAAAAATCAATATTAAAAATTTTCCCTTCGATTTAATTTTTTTAAAAAAGGATATTGCACTTGCTGTGCCGGTACTAAAAAATGTGCAAAGTTTTAAAAAATTTTACCGAAGGAAAACGGAGAAATTTGGGATTAATTTTCGCAATTTTACTAGCTTTTTACGCGAACAATTTAATACCCCAACTGACGTGTACAGGCATTCTGCATAAAACAACAAGACATGACTTTTTTGAAATTACAAAATATAAATTATGTTCGATATACTGTTTATAACTGTGTCAGTTAATGGTCAATTAAGCGTGGATTACACATGTAAAAATGGCAAAGATATTTAGGTAATTATTAGTTATGATTTCTTGGTATTAATTTGAAAAATGTTTGTCAAAATTCGTCCCGTGCGAGTTAGTACATACGTCGGATGTTTTCGCAAAATGCCCGTTCAAATTTCAGTTTTTATGGTGGTATGTTTGGAGTTTCGGCCCTGCTCATTTCACCCGTAGAGGGCTTATTATTTAAGTCATCTTTATTGTCATAAGTGCTGCTAGATTGTGGAGAAAACACTGCAAATTCTTGAGAAAACTTTATATCATATCCCAATGTTCGCGATCGAACCTGGCGTACGGCGGTTCAAAAAACTTCCAGAATACCGCTTGAAAAAAAACAAAACATCACATCCAAGTATCGTTTTGTCTTTTAGAACTCTTTTTATGCTTTCAACTAAAGCAAAGTTCACACTTTTGTTTCAAAAGAGTTCCATATAAAAACACAACGTTCGTTCGAAGTCACACAAGTTTTAGTTTACATATATACGAAGAGTAACCCCCGGAAATAAAACCCTAGGGAGCCACCTTAACCTGTAAACGAGCATAGTTTGGCCTCTCACATATTTTTGGCTTCAAAAAATATTGACTTTGTCTTGTTTTCACCATACTACTTGTGATATTATTCCGACGTTATCTGTCAACATGGAAACATATCCTCATCTCAGGGCCGTACGCAGGATTTTTTCAGAAGAGGGGCATGCAGTAAGGCCTATATGCCAAAAAAGGTCCCGAATATCCAAATAATAATTAATAATGGCATTCTAAAAATCGTAAATGTACGGCCCTGCCTCATCTGGTAAGTAGTCAAATACCACATATTTTAATATATACATTTATGCAGTAAAACAATCATTGTGTACTATTTTAAACTGTCAAAACATAGCAGGCAAATATATTGCCAATGAAAAATACAATCACAGGAAACTAATGTTCTCAGGAGATATTGAATTAAATCCTGGTCCTGTATTTCTGTAACTCGGATCAAACAACAGTCCAACCATTCAATATATGATTGACTCCTTGTTACACGATTGACTCTTTGCTACAGTAATGCATGTTCCTTGAATAATTTGTGTATGTTATTCAACAGTTAACATTGGCAAGTGTAAACAACAAGTGACAGAACTTTTGCTTCATGTGATTACAATAAAGATTTGAAAATTGATTGACAAGTGACTGCTTACTAAATGGCCGGCTGTCGGCTGTATATACACTTCGAATATTGTTTGCATGAATAAGCTCAATTTGAAGCTCGACTTAATTCGTATGAAATTCAGAGATCTTACACGACAACTTCGTAGGGTCTTTCAAAAATTGAGCAACAAATGAAGAAACTAAAAGAGAAATAGTCAGAGAGCCATTGAAGCATGGTCACTGACACATGACACATGCAAATATTTGTACTTGAAACAGTGGGTTGTCTGCTCTCAGAAGAGGGGTTAGCCTTCTACTTCTAAGTTACTGGTTAATTTAAAAATACAAAATTGTTTAAAATGTTTTTAGTCATTTCTAAATTTGAAATAGCAACCAGAAACGAGTTTCGTGCTCATGTTGATCACTGGTGTCAAGATAAAAGATTTCCGTGATTCCACTTGAGACGTTACGCCTGGTCTGCAGGGCTGGCGCTCACTAGTGGGGTTTAGGCCACTACACATCATACTTCCGTATTTATTCAGAAGCACCGTTGTATTTAAACTCGTTGAACTGAATACTGCTGTGCTGTGTATTCCGTTGGCTCTGTTTATGGTACATTATCTTAAGCATGCAGGTAAGGTGTTTTACTTTTAGAGAGGAATAAATCAACAGTCTTAATTTAAACGTGGTATGTTTATTACGATCATCAGTCTTAGTTTAAACGTGGTATGTTTATTACGATCATCAGTCTTGGTTTAAACGTGGTGTGTTTAAACGATCATCAGTCTCAGTCTTTGTTTGAACGTGTCTGAGACTAGTACGTTCACACGACGCCAGAGTGGCTTGAAAACGACGTAGAAAAGTCTCAATTAGCGGTTCGCGTTCACGTTACGCCGACGCGAAATTATTTGAAAACGTCATTTTTACCGTAAGAATTTGAGCACTGTTTTCTAAACGGAGCGAGATGAAAACTGAGCACTTGGCGGCTTTGTGTGAACACAAACACCATTACTTTTTTGCACCGCTTGGAAACCAAGCATCTCAGGTCTCAAAACAGTAAAGTTGAATGCTTTTATTGTCAATTTCTTTGTTCTATTTGAGATAAACAAACTGTAATGGCGTAGTGTGAACACACGTAAAATCCTTAGTTTGACGTTTACGCCAAACGTCAAACCGCTAACGAAGTGTTTGATTTTACAACTCTATTATAACAGCTTTTACACCAGTTTTGAAATATATTAACAATTATTAAACTTGTGGTATTTAGCAATGATTTAAGGAAGCAAATGAACCACTAGTCATGTAATCACATGCAAAGCAGTAAATTAAGATTTAGCGTTTGAAGGTTACGTTTGGCGTATAAATTTCATGCTTTAACGACTACAAGCCCTCGTAGCAGTTCAAGCATGAAATTTATACGCCAAACGTAAACTTCAAACGCTAAATGTTAACTTACTGCTTTGGTGAATACGTGGCTAGTGGTTAATTTGCTTTCTTAAATCATTGCTAAATACCACAAGTTTAATAATTGTTTAATATAGTTCAAAACTGGTGTAAAAGCTGTTATAATAAAGTTGTAAAATCAAACAATTCGTTAGCGGTTTGACGTTTGCCGTAAACGTCAAACTAAAGGTCTTCGCTCCAGTGCAGTGTTAACGTAGTCTTAGTGTTTCAAACAGTTTTTCCGAATTTTTTTCGCCTAGACTGCAACATTGGTTGAATCGTCTTCAAAAAACATCAGTTTTTTCTGGTTTATCGATTAACCGCCTCACTATGCCTGACTATCGAGTTAGGTTTCATAATAATTCAAATTACTGCTGATCATTGTATTTTCTTGTATTAATTAACCTTATTTTGTCTGATGTTAAAGTGTCCTTGAGTATTAAACGCTTAATAGGGAAGATTGTCAGCCACACCAGAAAATGTGTTAGTTCCGTTCTGAAAATTAGGTGACTATGATTCATTGAAAGAATGTCACGTTTGTGACACCCAAAAAAAACGATGAAGAAGAGAGAAAATATCCCTTTTAAGACACTGGTCATTATGACTGTTACTTTCGGCCAGTGAAATTAAATATTATTTCTATATTATAATTTCATGTGCTGGTATTGTCGTATGTAAAATATTGTTGTCATGTAACTTTTTGGTGCGACTTAAAATTAAAGTACCAGAGGTGCTTTAACCGGTCCGTTTAAATCGATTGCTTTTTAGTGAAAAATCGTCTAAAAATTCTCGTACTAGTACTCATGCAGGGTAGTTTTAGTCCAGTTTGGTGTCTTCTGTGCTTTGAGGGTTTTTCTGCGCATGCCCCAAGGCTCAAGTTGTCGAGCACTTTTATCATTTACTTGGGTGAATTGCCAGTGTAATCGACGACATTGAATAAATTACTATAATAAATAATTTATACTATTTTTTAATATTTTTTTCTAGATTACCAAAAAGATTTTTCGAATCAGCTTTATCTTTCCCTGTCTACTATGTATGGTTATTTCATTCGCCCAAGGTAAGCTAAACACTTAAACCTGTAATTGTAGGTAATTGTAAGAGTTTGATTGGTTCTCTCCTGTGCTTTGAGGGTTTTCCCCGCAGGTTCCTGGGTTTTCTCCCTTAACAAAAACGAACCCGTAGGCCAAAGTTGTCAAACGCGTGTATCATGAGCATCATGCTGAAATGAATTGGGCAACGACATCCTGTCTCTGTGCATCATGACAATGTCGATGATCATGTCGATGCACAACTACTAAGAAACGAAATTCAGATCAACCACCACAAATCAGTGCGGGTCCAACGCAAAATATTGCAATGTCATATATAATAGACATGCATGTTTCAAATGGATAAACCAATTTTCACTTCTAGGAAATTTCCGGCAGCTCCAGCTGCACCGCTGCCAGGAATTTTTTAACGAACTGTCTTTGCAGGAAATTATCTTACACCTTACAAGACGTTTTTGTCATCTTGTGCTGTATATACTGGAATAGCATATAATTTACTTATTGCTTAAAACTTCCAAAAGAGTTCTGAAAGTCGAGATTGTCTTTTGCCGAGATTTAAGTTGATCACAATGTACGTGCGGCACCGTACGTTCTGAGAAATCTACATACGGTTGGCTATTTGAATCACAATTATACTAAACTAAAATAGCAGAACAGAGTGCATGCAATATATATATATATATATATATATATATATATATATATATATATATATATACAATGAGATAAGTCAAATTGTTAGTAAATCAGGATTTTCCCATTCCTTATTTCGGCAACAAAAAATGTAATATGTAGTTCTAATAGCAATAGTCATCATTTTCCTAACGCAGTACATTTGGTGGTTTTTGTCAAGACCAATACTATCTAACATGTCTAAAAATGTATAACATTTTTCTGCAAAAATACCTAAAGAGCTGATGGAGAGATTTATAAATTTAACTTGGTTAAAATTTTTACCTAGCTGTCTCAATAATTCTCTATATTTATCCTTAAACCTGTAATTGTAGGTAATTGTAACTTAAACCTGTAATTGTAGGTAATTGTAAGAGTTTGATTGGTTCTCTCCTGTGCTTTGAGGGTTTTCCCCGCAGGTTCCTGGGTTTTCTCCCTTAACAAAAACGAACCCGTAGGCCAAAGTTGTCAAACGCGTGTATCATGAGCATCATGCTGAAATGAATTGGGCAACGACATCCTGTCTCTGTGCATCATGACAATGTCGATGATCATGTCGATGCACAACTACTAAGAAACGAAATTCAGATCAACCACCACAAATCAGTGCGGGTCCAACGCAAAATATTGCAATGTCATATATAATAGACATGCATGTTTCAAATGGATAAACCAATTTTCACTTCTAGGAAATTTCCGGCAGCTCCAGCTGCACCGCTGCCAGGAATTTTTTAACGAACTGTCTTTGCAGGAAATTATCTTACACCTTACAAGAAGTTTTTGTCATCTTGTGCTGTATATACTGGAATAGCATATAATTTACTTATTGCTTAAAACTTCCAAAAGAGTTCTGAAAGTCGAGATTGTCTTTTGCCGAGATTTAAGTTGATCACAATGTACGTGCGGCACCGTACGTTCTGAGAAATCTACATATGCAGGAAGTTTTATATTTCACTTACACAGGAAATTTTTATTTTTGAATTTTGCTACCAGGAAGAGAAATATATTTTTAGGTCTGGCGATATATAACCAACCGAAAAAATTAAATACCTTGTGGTGAAAATCCCACCCACCTTTAGGCAAGCTAATAATTTATGAAGTATTTGGTTGAAAATTATATACATTTTTTAGATCTGACTGGGAGTAGCTGTGATAAATGTAACTACATGTACTATAGGCCCTGTGACAGGAATCGAACTTGCGGCTCCTGTGATTCTGGTGCGGTGCTCAGACCACTGAATTACAGAGTCCAGTTGTCATTTCATATGATAGTAAATACAAGATAAGACAGATTGTATTTCCATACAATCATTAAATTGCAAACGTTTGTTCGGCTGTCGTCCTCACATTGCCGTCGTCCATATGTATAAGTTCTCTAATTGGAATACTGTAAATTGTTGGAGATAGTGACTAGTAATGTTGATGTGAACTGTGCTACAAAAAGTTCAATCTTGAAATGTTGATACTACTCTGATTTAAGTAAACGAAGCAATGCTCACATTTATTTACCACCCATTATTTCGACACTCCGAACTAGTGTCTTCATCGGGGGTGATATAAAATACAAAAACTAACTGCATATCCCTGATGGTAATACTTAACTGGTTTATGAAAACGTTAGGTTGTGAATGTATGTTTTGCGAATTACAATTATTTGCTAATAATATACCTAATGGTTGGTTGATATGAGTATATCGTTGATATACTTTAAATTCGAAGCCTATATACCTGATATATTTTCAGTGGAACAACAAATGTACTTGTCACCTTGACTTTTAAATATTTCTTTGTTTAGAGAATTACAAATACTCCTGCGACTTTGAAGATCGTAACACTTGCCAATGGACTCAAGATAAAAGTGATGATTTCGATTGGATCATAAATCAAGCTTTTACACCATCAGAAGGCACTGGTCCACATACAGATCATACCAAGGGTTTGGGTAAGTGTTATATTCTGTTGGTTGACATACCATCACCATCACTTTTATCACCATCATATTCACCATAATTATCACTACCATCAGCGCTACCAGTATCACCTGTTCACCAATATCATCACCACCCATAATTATCAACAACATCACCACCACAAACATCATCATCGCATATATCACCACCTTCATTACCATCATAATGTTGTACATCTGCTGCTGACTTTTTATTTAAAGATTCTTGTATTGATTAATTTTTTACTTGAAGTATATTATATTTCAATTTCTAAAATGTAAACCCATTACATTTTTTTACCGAAGATGGATATTTATAACAGTCATTCTGCGAGTCGTATATAAGCTTATAGCCAACGAGCTAGGTGCGTATCACCGAGTTGTCTATCAGTCATATACGACGAGAGTGAGTAGAATAACTGTTTTAGTATTATATAGACAACTACTGAATTTACAGACTCATCTGTATGTCAATATTTCGACAGTTACAGTAGTTTAGCAATCTACACAAATTGCCCTAAACCTCATAAACCGCCGCTGGCATTCCTTTAAATAATACTTCAAACATTGCTAAAAAGTCGAAATTGCTATATATTTAAGGCTCTTAGACAAAACAAGCGCTTGTGGATTTTACACCTATGAATTGACCTTGTTTTTAGTTCAGTGTAATTTCTATCAGGCACCATAGTGGACAAAAGTCTAAAATAAACATTATACTCTCTTTTTGTTATATAGTTTGTGTTTCTTCATAATATATAAGGTTTGTTTTCCTTATATAAGGTCTGTTTTAATTAAATAAAACCCTGTTTTCTTTATATATGTTCTGTTGCCATTACGTAAGGTTTGTTTGTATTATATAAGGTCTGTTTTCTTTATATAGTGTCTGTTGCCAATATATAAGGTCTGTTTTTTAAATATAATTATTAACTATAAAGTTTATCCTGGGAACGAGTTGATTATTACACGGTCAGCGTACTATAAATGAACATTACATGAAGTAGTACCATAAAATTTGTATTTAAAAATGGAGTTCAAAGTCGATGTTGAACAATATCTTTCTGATTTACCAAACCAAATCTTGCAAACTAGTTAACTAGGCGTCAACTGTTCAGTGGAAATTTTAATGCACTCGAGTTTTGGCAAAGAAGGATTGAAGACTTCCTAAATGTGCTCAACGTTTTATGTCGACCATTCGAAGACATTGAAACTGATGAGTGATGGAGGTTTAGCAGTAAATTGCAATCAACTTATTGCTGAAATTCAAGCAATCCATGGAATGTTATAATAATAATAATAATAATAATAATAATAATAATAATAATAATGGAAACTTTATTAAATGTTTTTCTTTACATACATATACAATCGTAAATCTCTCTCATAAAGGTAACTTACGGTTGGCTATTTGAATCACAATTATACTAAACTAAAATAACAGAACAAAGTGCATGCAATATATATATATATATATATATATATATATATATATATATATACAATGAGATAAGTCAAATTGTTAGTAAATCCGGATTTTCCCATTCCTTATTTCGGCAACAAAAAATGTAATATGTAGTTCTAATAGCAATAGTCATCATTTTCCTAACGCAGTACATTTGGTGGTTTTTGTCAAGACCAATACTATCTAACATGTCTAAAAATGTATAACATTTTTCTGCAAAAATACCTAAAGAGCTGATGGAGAGATTTATAAATTTAACTTGGTTAAAATTTTTACCTAGCTGTCTCAATAATTCTCTATATTTATCCTTCTTCCGTTTTACGTTGTTTTTGAGGTTTGTCTCATAACCAGTGGTGAGTTCAACCACATATAAGGAACCATTTGAGCACGATAATAACAAATCTGGGCGATACGTATCACCAGTAAGTACTGAAGGGCTTTTGAATCCATTTAGATCAGCGTAGAGAGTAGAACCGTCAACAGTTTGTAACTGATGAGCAAGAAAGTTCAGGACTGAATTGTGTCTCCACGTAAATCGGTTGAGATAAAACTGACATCCAGCTACTATGTGTAGTAATGTTTCAGGGCTAAGACAAAAAGAACAGTCTGAATTTGAAGATATTGCCCATCTGTTTAGGTTTTTGCGCGTCGGAAGAGAGTTGTTAATGCAACGAATGGTAAAGTAGTAAATGTTTTTCGGGAGCTTTGATTGGGCGACGGACCACACCTTGCTAAGCTGAGGTAAAGCGAACTTCGTGACGCTGCAGAAAAAGGATCCTTGACTGGTTAATTGGTTTAGGAGTTTGTTTTCGTGTCCAGAACGGAAATCTTTGAGAACTTCCTTAGTAGAGTTATAAGCGTCATATTGGATATTAGTATGGTTACTGGTTGCTCTCCACAGGTCGTTAGTTGATTCATTAGGAGAAGATTTTAAAGCTTTTCGGAGGACTGTTTGACACTGGATAAATTTTACAGATGGAGGATAAATACTCAGGCCAAATTTGTTATTTGTTAGAAAGACAGTACTTAGTGTTCCTGATATTGGTACTTCAAGCCATCTGCGGATATATTTGTTGGCAATAGAGTCGATATTTTCAGTAACCCATGTTTTAGAGAGTGTTGCGACGGTGAAGTGCCAGGCTAACTTGGACAAGACGTAGCGACTGTAGAGGAGCAGTTTATTTTTGGGGTGTAGTGGCTTTGAGTCAATATCAGACATTAGTTCATTAAGTAGGGTGGTTAGTTCAGTTTTGTGATTATCATTCGACATGTGGAAATCAAAGTAACGTCCTAAATATTGAAATGATTCTCCAATGGTGATTTTTGGTATTAGTTGATTGCTGATGAGGAGTTTTGGCAAGTACTGAACTGATTTTGTGATCGCTTTTTTAATGCCAAAGGTACTGCATTTGTCAACTCGGATAATCATATCGGACCATTGGCACCAGATAGAAAATCGATTTAATAGATGTTGGTTTTCGGATTCTTGGCCAGTAATTACAGCCGCGTCATCAGCAAACTGGAACCAATGGATGGGATTTAGTAATTTGAAGGAAAACCCAAATTGACGGTACTTTTCAGCCTTGATATGCTGAATGAATGTATTGAAGCACATGTTAAAAAGAAGAGGACTGAGGCAATCTCCTTGCAATACGCCACGGCCAACTGTCATAAAAGGAGTGCGGAATTCAGAGGTAATTATCGAGGTTTGGAAATCAGTATATAAACTTTTTATAACAAATTTTATATGATCAGGGATATGGTGGTAGTCAAGTACGGATTGGATGAGGTTGTGATGGATTTCGCCGAAGGCATTCTTAAGATCAAGTAGGGTGATGACAACAGAGCGTTGTCTGATCCGAGCTTTATTAATAATGTCAGCCATTTGTGCAGTATGTTCTAGAGTGCCAGATAGGTTGGGGGTGAAGCCTTTTTGTATGTTGTGTTCGACGAAGTTATTAGATGCGAGGAAGGAGTATACTGCGTTTCGAAGACAAGATGTAAATACTTTTAAAGGTATGGATTCGAGTGTTATGGGGCGGAAATTTGAAGGGTCATTATTGTTGCCTTTCTTGTGGATTAGTATGGTACATGCTCTTTTCCACTCAGTTGGGACAGTTCCAGATAGCCAAATATCGTGAATTAGCTCAGTAAGGTAAGTTCTCAGATAAGGACAATGCTTGAAACTTATTATAGAAAGTTGATCAAGAGGGCAAGGAGAACCAGACGATTTCATTTTGCGTATAACATTCGTAATTTGTTGATAGGTCGGGGGGTCAAGTTTAAATTGAACTGCAGGATCAGATAACTTTGGGATCCAGCTGGGAATTACAAATAGCTTGTTAGGATTAATTTTAGCCAGAGATTTAGAGAAATAAGAAAGGCAATCAGTCATGTTAAATGACGGTAATACTGCGTCTTTTCCATTGATTATATTTTTAACATAGCCCCAAAAGCTTCGTTCCAGATATTTGTTGTGATTAAACGACTCACTGTCATTTAAGTCATCGGCGTCGTTGCCATTGTTACGGAGCCTGTCACGCAATGTACGCGATACGTATTTAATTTCACTGAGTTCACCCTTTTTGGATTTTAAATTTTGTAAAGCTTTCTTTAACTCTTTAACCGTATACTCTTTATATTCAGCTACCATATTTTTGTCGGGTACAGTTTCAGTATGTCCATAATTATTTGCAAAGTAGCTATATATATCGCGTCATTTAAAAGCTTGATTTTTGAATTTAGATCTTGCAATGTGATTGGATCACTCAGAATCATTTTTCGGGAGATTTATGCCTTTCTTCAGCTCAGGAAAACTATCGTAATTAACTGTATTAATATCATTGCCGTTGTGTTCATTTTCTGAAATATTTTCGCTGTTATCTGTAGTTATTTGCTCCTCAAGATCTGCACAAAGCTCGTCGTTAAGGCCATGTATCACTTGACAACTGCGCTGATGCATTTTAAGGCCGCATATCTTGCCACAACAACATTTAACAACCGTGCGACTTGACACAGGAGCATTAGGGGACTGCATTACAGGCACTTGTCTTGTAGTAGCGTCAAGGGGATCTCGTTCTGCTTGGTTAATCCGCTGTTTACAACGCCACGAATGGCGACCGAGCGCGACGAAGTCTTCATCACAAAACGAACAGACGACGCAAGTCAATAACATGGCAACAAAACTTGAACGAATCATGATAATGATCTTTTTATGATTATAAATTTTAAATAATAATAATAATAATAATAATAATTTAATAATAATAATAATAATTTAATAATAATAATTTAATAATAGTAATAATAATGGAAACTTTATTACTTTCAATAATATATATACACACTACAATGATAAACCTCTCTTTACAGGTAGTTTACCAGTGTCTACTTGAATTAACGCTCTACATAATAACAATATTAGTATGACATTAGTTGTGGGTTATCCCATTCTTTGTTACGTTTACAGAATATATAATACGAGGACCTGATACATATATTAATAATTTTCCGAACATAGTACTTTCTACATGTTCATCAAACTTTAGATCCTTCAGCATTTCGGTGAAATCTAGCGACGGGTGGCTGAAAACTCCTAATGAGCTAATCGATAAATTTACAAATTTCACTTTTTCATAATTTTTGAGCTGTTCGTTAATTAGATCTTGATATTTTTGTCTTTTTCGATTAGTGAGGAGATTAGATTCAAATCCGACGGTAAGTTCAAGTATATAAATACATTTGTTTTCAAGTGTTATCAAAAGATCAGGGCGCAATTCATCTCCGGTGATAACAGATGGACTGATATAGCCAGGAAGGTCAGCATAAAGGTTACAATGGTTCACAGATTTAAGTATGGATGCTATGAAGTTAAGCACCGAATCATGACGCCACGTGAAACGTCCTTCATTTAGGTAGGTCTTGCATCCAGCGACGACATGAAGAAGTGATTCTGGATTCAAACAAAACGAACATTCGGATGTTGGTGATATTCCCCATTTCAGAAGGTTTTTGCGAGTCGGAAGAGTGTTATTTATATACCGGATAGTGAAGTTAAATATATTCTTCGGAAGTTTACTCTGAACACGGTTAATAGAAGGAGGATGGTTAGGCTAACCGGCAAACTTCAAAGGGGGCGGCAAACTATGTTGAGCACAAAGGAAAAAAATGTCACGTGTCGAGATAGGGGGACGCTTGTGTTGACATTTGTAGGAAATTATATTGAAAGTGTTGGGTTAATACTGATAATAAAAGCATTTTTGTATCTTTTGGAGCATTTATAATAACGATGGATAGTGATATCGAAAGAGGAGTGATTTCTTCATCAATGCAGACATTTGAAAACAGTAATAATAAAAGCAAAGAGAGTTTTCAACGATCGGAAATGACGGTATCATTTGGAAGATGAACGAGAGAGCGAATACGTAGATTTATATATATAGACGAAGATTTTTATAGCATCGAGGCCCCTGTTACTATTAGCGGAAGAAAAACAGTTGTATTAAATACTGATTTTTCTGCTGCCCAATCGACAGTGAGAAGTCTTTTCAGTACTACAGTATGTGTGCGACAAATTTGCGGCCTTAGTGCCAAATTACAAGGCATATAGCTAGTAATTCAAAACACTTTACAACACATGGTCATGGGGAATCTATTGTACGAAGTATCTATGTGTTTATATATAAAGGTGCATTTACTTCTTTAGTTGATTGACATTGTAGAAGCTATACGTTGTGAAAAGTACATTGCGATCATAGGAAACAATGTGGGATGCGATATAAAAAAGTCGGGTGAATTCAACCGTGCCAAAGATTATATTATCGAGTATGAAAACGATGCAAAACGTGGTAAAGCCTTTGCCTTACTGTAAAACAGTAGTGAAAAGAAAGTGATATTATATATTTTATAAAATTTGTAACTATACAATTCATTTATCTTCTACAATAACTCTGTTTTCATATTCAGATTAATTGAACCATAGGTTTGAAAATATAACAATGGGTTGGCAAATTTATGACTCCCAAAACTAATATATTATTTACAAATGCCTCTATGGTTAGTTGGTTAGGTTTTCACAATTACACTGCTATCATGATATAGTCATCATACAGGCCTTATCAAACCAAACAATTCAAACCTGGTTAAGGAGCTGATTATATGGAGAATATTTCAGCATGGCTGAGTTTCATCCTGGTTTCCCGGCTTGAAATTAAGAAATTTCAGCCCGGCCTGAGGATAAAATCCTATTAAAACACAGAAAATGATTGCATGACAGAAATTTCAGCTGGTGCTGAAGTTTTAGCCCGGTTGGAGCTACCCGGGCTGAAAATTTCAACCCGGTCGGCCGGGCTGAAACTTGCCATGTAATCGACAGGAAAATTCAACCCAGGTTGAAAAAACAGCATTTAATTAAACTCTTTGGCGGCCCACCCCAAATCATTCATCCGCTAGCGGTTGACAGTTTTGTGTTTTCATATCTTCGGTTCAGTGCATGCTATGAAGATAGAAATACCACCATTCGATTCAACTAATTCCTCACTATAGTTTTAGTCATTATCAACATTGTAGCGATTTATGGGCCTTTGAAGTCAAACATGATCATATTATATCAAATTACGCAATTGTCTGAACAAAAATTTAAAAAAATATAAACAAGGTATGCCTTTCGCCGAAAATAACTTCGGCCCCTGTGAACATATCGTCTTTGTAATAGTCTTGTTCGAATCCCCATCAAAAACACTATTTAGAGTGTTATTTTCTTGCCTGTATCTTCAAATCTGTACCTTTTATCAATATATTTCCATTTCTTGTCGGACTGTGAGCTCGAAGTGAGTTAATCCAAACCGGAAATACGACTGAAAACCGTCAAAACAATGGGACATTTGTATCGTATGACCTTGGAAAGGCCAGAAATGGATTCTACAGGTCAAATTGCACCTACACGCGTGAGTTTGACGTCATCCCGGCAACAGGAGCTTTCTTATTGGCCAATTATTGCGCAATGTACGCGACTGTGACGCGGTGAGAGTAAAACCCGACATTTTGAAAAATTTAAAATAAATATTTCTACTCGCCGTATTCAAACGAAATTTTGTACACAAAAGCGCTTGAATACAAAGAGTATTTTACACCTACAGCCGTTCAGCAAATTACAAAAAGTTCCAGAGATATTCAAGATCTTAAGGATATGAAATTTAGAATCTTAGGCCAAGCGGTGAGTAAATATATCATTGTTTCGGTTTGTGTTATGTACTGACGGCACTTGACCCCCCAGTTCGAAAGGATATTTTGTGAGGATTACAATGGTGGCTTTTATTTAAACGGGGGGTAAATATTCGCCGAGATATTTATATTAGAAAAATTGTGCCGTAATGTGATGCGAAACAGCGCTGCTCAGAAGGGGCGTCAAAGAGTCTTTATTTCTGTCTGTTCTACTTTTAAATGCAACCACACTCTTGCAGAAGTCAATAGATATGATCAACATTTTAAATTCTCCAAAGAAGCAGAATACCTCCATTTTGAGACTTCATTCTTTCGGCCCGGGCTGAGATTTCACCCCGGTTTGAATTGAAATTCTAACTCAACCCAGGCTGAACTTTGTCATGTAATCGTGAAACAATTTCAGCTCGGTTAACTGGGTTGAAATACAGCCCGGGCTGAAAACTCCCCATGTCATCAGCCCCTAAGACATGTTGAACCTGGAAGGCAGGTTTTGGCAGGCATCCCTGCATGGCCCTAATGAATTAACCATTAACTTGCAATTGCTTCTCTTTCAAAAAAATATAATGTAGGGTGCATTTGCTGGACACATTGCCAGCTCACCCACTAGTGAATTAACAAGTGGCACTGGCAGATTGCCAATGACAAGTAAAATTGGGTGGTGTCAGTATGGAAACAAAGTATGGGTAAAGTAAACAAAGTAATCTGATAAAAATTAGAACAAAACATATGTGAAAATGGTTTAGAATCTTCTTTGAATATTAAACTTGTACATTTCCAGTCAATGTATACAATTTGCTATTTCCAGTGTATTTAAATTCAGTATCTATAATTATTTTTTATCAGTGAAAATGAAGCAATCTGATTGGCTGAGAGCCTTTCAGAGCGGGCCGGTTTTTTGCATCCGGCCCGCTCTGAAACGCAACTGCCCGCTGTGAAATGCAACTGCCCGCTCTGGCTTTCGCGTCAAAAACTGAGGAGTGAAACAATTTTTTAAAAGAAAAAATCTGCCATAAACGTTTGAAAAACATAGCCTAACGATAGTCAGAATACAATAATGAATTGCATCAAGCCCTAAAGGCTTCATACTAAGCACGATGTTCACCAGAATTGACAATATTTTTATAGAAATGCGACTGAAAGTCGGAAAATTATTCGACATGTATAAAAGTTACGTCGAGAAAACTACATATTTTTTAAATGCTCATGTATTCGGCCACTTAAATGCGAAAAAATTACAGCTTAAACAGTTATTGTAAAATAAATGTTTTCCCATTTAAAAAAAGTTTTATTTGCAGCAGTGAAAACAAGTCACGAATATATTCTCTACCCATTTGTGTCATACATTCTTCGCTGATATAAATGTTGTAAACAAAGTAAAAGTTTGTGTTTAAATTAAAAACAATTTTTTCAAGCATATTATCGTGAAACGACAAGAAAAAATACAAAAATATAAAAACAACATACCCTTTTCATTGACCTTTTAGTAGAAAAACGTTGATTAAATCAAAACAGATTCATTTTTATATGTTTTTGATCTGATCTGAACATGAACTTGTCGTTGTCAGGAGCAACTGATTTTGTCAAAGCCAAAGCCAAAACGCCAGGCATAAAAGTTTTTATTCCAAAGCTTCTCTTCTATACCGTATTCATGAAAAAAGCATGTACATTTTTACTGAAACTATACGTCTTTTTGTGTGTTTCTTGCCAGTTTTCTCGAGTTTTCGTATCGTGTTTTATATCATTCAACTTTTCAAATTTCAATTTTTGTCAGCCTCGCTTTGAAAATACACAACTGCACTGATCTCAAATTAGTTCGCAAGCAACACTGGAATTTTAATCAATTTAATTTTTACATCTGATAAAAAATAAACACGTTATTTACCGGCAGCGTCGGTCCGGATGAGAAAAACTGTGCCCTCGGTCTTGAAAACGTCCCTCGCCCTTCGGGCTCGGGCCGTTTTCAAGACCTCGGGCACAGTTTTTCTCATCCGGACCTCGCAGCCGGTAAATAACATATATGTATCTACAAGTATTCAACCCAGAGCCAATAGGCCATACAATTTTGCATGCCAATTTCACGACTAGTCAGTCCTCTCTCAGTGAGGTCAGAGATCTGCCAATTGAAGAACTTCACCCTGCAAATCCCAAATTGAATGAACAACCATCCCAGGGTGGATATCAATAGTTGTTAATAACCGATTAACAGCAGTATTCTTCCACTGAGTAAAATTTTATTGCTTTAGACAGAGTAAAATGCCAATTTGAAAGTAGGTGCATCTGCATGCATTGCCAGTTGATGTGTAGATTATGTAATGGTGATAGACAATAAATATTCTTCAACAGTCTTAAATTCAGTAAGTATGTAGTTACAGTAGTCTGGTACAATGTTATAATTTCTAAAGAAGTGAATAATGATGAGTTGAAATTTGCATAGCGGGTCCAAATCGTCGGGCTAGCTATGCCACTGCTAGCAACTGAACATGCAGAAATGCCATACAATATAATATAATGGTTTTTTGAGGATGCTAATTTGAAAATTCAATAACAGATATCAGTTTGACTATTCCAAATGTTACTTTTAAATTAATAGTCCACTACACAGTACACATCAACTAGAAATCACTATCAATGACAAGTAAAATTGTCTGGAGTTGTCTTGTTGGCAGAGCAAATACCAAAGTATGCTGCATAGGCACATGATTTGGGCTGATACGTTTGTAATATTAGTTCAATTTACTTCATTTGTTTGTTTCGCATCAATACGTTCGCACCGACGTCAGATCTCTTTAATAATAGCGGTCTTAGCAATTCTACTCGAGCTGTTCTCCATCAGTCGTCCTAAAAACACTGGGTATTTTATCGTTCATTGTGTCTACCGCAACTCTCACGACCAAAAGCAGAGCAGTTTTTCCCGGACAAACTCCAAAAGTATCGTCTTTAAGTATGAAAATCCTCGAACACTTGAGAATGGAATATGTGAATATACACTTAGTATAGCGTGGTTATATCTCAAAACCAATCAACAATACCTTTAAAACTTGTGAATACGATCAGATAGGCCTACTTTGGGGGCCAAGGTCGCCTAATGTCGCCTAATTTCGCCTAATGTCGCCTAATTTCGCCCACTTTCGCCCATGTGCACCCAATTTTTTAACTTTGCCTGACAGTCTATTTGCTTAATGTCGCCTAATTTCGCCTAATGTCGCATAATCTCACACAAGCATGCCCAATTTTGCACTTTGAGTTTGTCGTCCATACTAGTCTATTCCTTATTTATTTGTTAGTTTCCTGCATGTTTTTTTTCATAAATACATGTACACAAACACCAAGGGCATGTGCTGTTAGGGCACCATCTCTCACCAGTATTAATGAGGCTTGGTTATTTGGCGTTTATATGTATATGAATTACAACACATTATTCCAATGAGAATTACCTAAATTATGTTGTTAAGGCAGCCTTCTGGCCATCTTCTCCAATGTGTTTCTTTGTGAAACTCAGTCAAATTAGACAATCACACGCCATTAAATGTTGTATATGAAATCAAACTTAGATCTTATTATCAAAGACACATTCATGATAACTGGCGAGTGCAAAAGTACAGAATACCTCTCACTAGCCTAGTGAAGGACACTAGGTATCCTAAAGGCCGAACGGTACCGTCGGTAGTTATATATATATATATATATATGTATATATATAATCGGTCACGAGTACTAAATACTGCCCGGAGCGCCCGGGGACGCCCAGGAGTGCCCAGGGACGCCCTGAAGCGCCCGGGAGCGTGTGAGAACGCCCGGGGATATATAAGATATAGTATAAATCAGTGCACGATCCTTTTTGAGTCTCTATGAGGCATTATATCAATGAACTTGGAATTCATCTCGGGTAAGTTGCTTTTTGGCCCTGGAATTTCTCAGAAGTAAACAAATTATCCTGGCTATGGAATTCTTCAGGTGTTGGGTATTTTCAATGAGATTTCATCAGGGGTCAAAGGCAAATTCTATAGGTAAATGCTGAATTATTTTTAAAGTGGTAACTGCTATTAACAGGAAACCATCATGGGACATACTTTGTTACAGTAGGAATTTTTCAGGGGTACATATAGTAAAACCTTGAACTCGATAGGGGGGTTACCACCGGTACATGTTACTGTATATGGAATAGTCCTATCTATAAATAAAGAAAGTCATCTATAGTATGTTCAAAATACGACTTTGTAGTTTGTAAAATAAAAGTACTTACTTTTCGACGAAGCTACGATGATCGACATCTCATAATTAGGTATCATCGCAAAAGATACAGAGCAATGAACGCACCACAGAAAGATCTACGGTACAGGTTGTTATAAAATGTCGCCAAGGCCCGCCATAATCAATTATTATGTTTCCTTACACGAAGTAGTACAAGTTAGTAGCTAAACCAGACGTGCCATGGTATTGCGGGCTCAAATCCCAGCCGAACAAGAACAGGTCTCTGAGGTTTTGGATAAAAGGAATTTAATTATTTATTAGTTCAGTTAAAGTAAAGGAACTGTCATCTAATTTTGGTAAAGTAAGTCAGTATATTTATACAAATGTATATGGATTAAACTTTTTTCTATCTGTTTGCTTTGAAAGTAAATTCTATTTTTTATTGAAACTATAAGATTTATAGTTATGACAGTTATCACTATTTGAGATATTTGTTTGCCAGTTTGGTGGGTTAGATTTCAAGCATGGTTATGGTGGTACATGATTTACATGGTACACGTTTATGATAGCTAGCTAGCTGACAATTTATTTACCTTAAATGCCAATTTTTTCACTTCCATCACTGCATACCACAGTCCATAAACAGGTTTTAAAACTCTATGAGGTGTTTACACCAGTCAATTTAATGAGAAGTCAGAGTTCCATGATACTGTAAATGTACCATGCACTGCATGGGCATGTATGTGTACTACGGTATAAACTTTGAGTAAATTGTCAGGCTAGCAGTTAGATAAATGTTCCTTGTTATTTTTGCTATTTGTAATAAACTAATTGTGTTCTTTGCCACAGGAACCAATTTTTGATAACTAAATTATATTTTGATATTTACTGTCAGTTGTATTTTCTATGTAGATGCATAATTTGTGAATTATAATATTTGACGTTATCTGGATATTACTGTTCAGTTTTGTCCAATGTCGCCTAATGTCGCCCAATGCCGCTCAGTTTCGCCCAGCGACGCACACTACTTTTCTTTGAAAATTGCCAATGTCGCCTAATGTCGCACAATGTTGCACATAATAACGGCGACCTTGGCCCCCAAAGTAGGCCTGAAATGGTTCAACTAACAACATAGGTGCAATTTGTCAGCGCATGCGCGAGATTTACGCGGAAAACAAGATAGCGGCGGTAAAATAGACTAGATTAATTAGTCCTTTTAAAGTATTTTCAAGTAACAATAGTCAAATTAATTATTCTTTTGGATATCATTGTACATCATGCTTTAATTTTTTTCATAAATTGCAAAATGTTAAAATACTAGAATGTTATTTTACTTTAATGTATTGTATAGAAATCAAGGCATGTTTGATTTGAGCAGTTTTCCAAATTTTTACAATAAATAAAACGTTAACACTACAAAAATATTCGATACATCATCACATAGCTGATATGCCTGTATAATTTTGGCGAGGTTTGCATGAGCAGTTCTTTAACAACATAAAGTACAATTTTAATTTCTACTCTGTGCAGCTAGAAAACTGCTCATAAAACCTTGTCAAAATTATATATATTTATATATATATATATATATATATATATATATATATATATATATATATATATATATATATATATATATATATATATATATATATCGCCTACACAAAATTTTTAATAAAAACACTATAAAAGTGAGCTATTCCTGCACCCAGAACATGGCGAACATAATTAAATCCCACAACAATAGGATACTTAACCCGCGAAACAAGAACACGCATGAGAACTGCAATTGCAATACAAAAGAACAATGTCCACTTCAAAACAAATGTCTCGTCACAAACGTCGTGTATAAAGCCCATATAACCACGAATGACGACCCTCAAGGGAGAGATTACATCGGTCTAACTGAGGGAACATTCAAAA